GGGCGGGCGCGTCCCGCCGGCTGTGTCACGCTGCACAGAGTCACAGCGTCAGAATCACAGAATCATCAAGGTTGGAAAAGCCCTTGAAGATCACCCAGTCCAACCATTAACCTCACACTGACAGTTCCCAACTCCACCACATCCCTCAGCGCTGTGTCGACCCGACTCCTAAACCCCTCCAGGGGTGGGGACTCCACCACCTCCCTGGGCAGCCCATTCCAACGCCCAACAACCCCTTCTGGAAAGAAATGCTCCCTAATATCTGGCCTAAGATCTGTGCCGCACGACGGTGCTCGTCACACCCCCCAGCTTTCTCCCACAGGGGAGGAAAGCGAGCACACCTGGACAGGGTTTTCCCCTCCAGCGTTTTGGAAGCAGCAGCATCAACCTGCAGATCCATGTTTTGCTCCCTAGAGCAAAGAGGTGTGAAGGCCTATAAACTCTCAGGGCTCCTCTGCAGCTTCTTTCCAAGAGATCACCCCCTCAGCTGCGCATACAGCTGCAGTCAGCATCTGCACCTTCACAACAAGGGGGGCTGTGCAAGAGGGTGAAACTTGTGCAGCTGTGCCACCCCAGAGGCATCTGTAACTCCCAGAATTACAAAAGTCATTTCTAAAGGTAGTCATTCACAACCTCCCTAAAAATAGCGTCCCTGTTAGGACATCAGCCAGCACTGGGATAGGAGCACTTAAAACAGGAGGAAATCTGAGCATGATCCAGCTCCGACATTTTATTAGACAGACATCCAGGAGCAGCATGCATTGCTAATGCTCGGATCTTTGTCAGGATCAATCCTTATCACTCAACAGCAAAAGCACTTCCCCACTTCCACGTTACCTGCACATGCGGAGCATGCCAGAAAGAAGAAAAAGTTAATTTATCCCAACATGAAGGTTCAGGGGTTTATTTTAGCTCTAATTCTGCTTTTATTTACATTACTCTCTGAATTTCCACAGAATTACTTCAACACAGGAGGTAGAGCTGAAACAAAGAAATTCACTCGACAGTGAAGTTTTTTTGCTGTTCGGCAGGTATTCTTTATTAGCAGCGCTGGGATCACCCTGGGGATTCTCCACCAAAAGGGCTCCCAAGAACTAGTAAGGGACATCAGTTTACATACACACAAATCATACATATTCATTAGATTTCCTTGAAAGGGGTGTCTTACGATAATGAGTTCCCAGGATTCATTTACACAGTCCGAGCATGCGTCGTGAAAATAGGGTGAGGGTCTTCGGTGGTCGATGGAAGAAGCACGTAGTTGTCTTCACTGTGTTCGCTAGCTGACCTTCTTTCCAGAGCATGCGCTAAGTCCAGATGCCTCCTTCCTAAATCCTTCCTAAATCAGCAGAATCATCCTCCCTATAATAGGGTCTCTGTGTCTCTTTGTTTGAGCACCCCCTTATCTTAGTTTTCCCATCCTAGGAGTTGCCCAAGTGTCCACCGAAGGCCTTGAGACTGCTGTCAGTGATTTACATAAGGAGCCTAACAAGCGTTTTAATCTTACCTAAACTAAGAGACCTAAGGAAACAGTTGAGGAGTCAGGAGTCCTTGAGAAACAAATGAAGCAAAGCACAAGCAAAGCTTTCGTACATCACATGACAGTTTAGTCTTAATAATTGTCAGATATTAATTTGTTTGAGCCATTTCATTTCTGTCCTTTCAGAACAGAAGTTTATGCTCCTGGGGGAAGGTTGCCATTTCCAGTGTCTATTTTGTATTAAGTATACAGTAAAAGTCAGAACAAGCAGAAAACATGACTGTTTTCTATCTCATTTGCATTTGTGTCCTGCCCCCCCAATTATCTGAGCACACTGATAAGCTCCCCCCCCTTATTTGGCAAAGCAGTTCAGCACAGGATTTACCGAACTCCCAGGAGAAAAGAAGGTAGAAATCACTCCTTTTTTACCCTCTAAAGCTGCACCAGCCTCACTTCTTAACTAAAGGTGAAATGGCCGAGGCCCTGCAAGGGATGCGTGTTAGCCAAGGCCGAAGCAGAAGCCTGGGTCTCGGGCAGGCCTGGCGTGAGGACACCTCTAGGTGCCTTTACTCGCACAGCCGCTTTCTCCCCACATTTTCCAGGCAACAGCGGCGTGCCCCCCCAGTCCCCTCAGCCCCACGAAGGCAGGCGGGCAGCAGGGAGCACATCCCTGGCACAGCGCGAGGATTAAGGGGCAGGAAGGGCCAGGACTAAACTGTGCGGACAGATGGCCGCCTGGATTAGGCAGATTAGCGGGCAGATTAGCGCCGGGGCCTTCAAACACGAGGGCGGCCCGCAGGGCCCGGGCGGCCCGCGCC